GCACATGGAACATTCTCCAGAATAGACCACATATTAGGCCATAAAGCAAGCCTTAACAAAATCCAAAGCATCGAAATATTACCCTCCTTAACATAATCTTGCCTCATTAACCACAGGCAGAGATTAGGATTTACAACACATAGGAAAATTATATCAATCACAAAATGGAGGACAACCACACAATACTGGGAATCACAGCCTAACCAAGTTGACACACACTTTTGGGGACACAATTCAATCCATGACATAAACAAATAAATATAATAACTTACTGATGCCTCAGAGAAAACAATCAATATCAAATTACATAAAGAAACAGGACAAGATGGCTCCAGCAATCGACCAAAATAAAGAACCAGAAAACCTTCCAGAGGAAGATAAAGCAATGGAATTATCTGATAAAGAATTCAAAAGACTAATATATACAGCTCTCACAGATATTGTGAAGAAGATCAGGCAAAACTCAGACCAAGTCAAGGAACATACAGACAGAACAATAGAAAAATTCAGGAAAACAATACAAGAACAAAATGACAGAATAAACAGGCTGCTGGAAACCATACAGAGACAGCAATCAGAAATCCAAAAGATTAACAATAAAATTTCAGAATTAGACAATGCAATAGAAGGTCAAAGGGGCAGAATTGAGACAACGGAAGTCAGGATTAGTGAGACTAAAGATAAAGCCCTTGGCACCACTTTGTTTCAGGAAAAATCAGAAAAAAAGAATGAAAAAAAAAAAATGAAGAAAGCCTAAGAATTATGTGGCATACAATCAAGGGGAAAAACCTACGAGTGATTGGAGTAAGAGAACTGGGATGGGGGGGCTAGGGGGGAGATAACAGAAGACACAGAGAATTGTTGAAGACTTGCTGGCATAAAACTTCCCTAATATCATGAGAGATGAAGAGATATCGATCCAAAAAGCTCAATGAACCCCATACAGGGTAGACCCCACCAGCCTTAGACCAAAAGAAGTAGATGGTGCCTGGCTACCACCAGTGGCCGTCCTAACAGGGAACACAACAGAGAGTCCCTGAGGAGCGAGAGAAAAGTGCAGAGCAGAATCAAATTCACGTAAAAAGACCAGACTTACTGGCCTGACAGAGACTGGAGGAACCCCTGAAACTATGGCCCCCAGACACTCTGCTAACCCAGAACTGAAACCGTTCCCGAAGCCCACTCTTCAGACAAAGATTAGACAAGCCTATAAAACAAAAAATCACACATGTGAGGAATGTGCTTTTTAGTTCAATCAAATATATGAGACCAAATGGGCAGCTCCTGTCCAAAAGCAGGATGAGAAGGCAGGAAGGGACAGAAACTGGATGAATGGACACAGGCAACCCGGAGTGGAAAGGAGGAGTGTGCTGTCACATTGTGGGGATGGCAACCAATGTCACAAAACAATATGTGTATAAATTTTTGAATGAGAAATTAACTTGAGCTGTAAAGTTTCACCTAAAGCGCAATAAAAAAAATAAGTAAACATAATTCATGTCACTGAATTATCCATCTAAAAAAAAAAAGAAGTAAAACTATCTTTGACATAATTCTGTATGAGAAAATCCTAGGGACCCCCCCCACACACAATTACAACTAATAAATCTGTTTAGGAAAGTCACAAGATACAAAAATCAATATACGAAAATCATTTCTATTTGTAGATACACGCAAAGAAGAATCTGAAAATAAGATTAAGATAATAATTCACAGTAGCATAAAAAAGAATTAAATAGGAAAATTTTAACAAAAAAGTGAAAGATCTGTACGCTAAAAAACACAAAACATTGCTGAGGGAAAACAGAGAAGGTCTAAATTAATGGAGAGGCATTCCAAGTTCATGGATTGAAAGATTCAATATTAAGATGGCAGTTCTCTCCAAATTGATGTATAGATTCAATGTAATCCCTTCAAAATCAAAGAAGGGTGATTTACAGAAATTAACAAGCTGATTCTGATATTTATATGGAAATAAAAAGAACCAAGAATATCAAAAACAATTTTAAAAAAGAACAAAATAAGAGGACTCACCTTTCCTAATTTCAATACTTACTACAAAGCTATAGTACTCAAGGCAGTGTAGAATTCGCATGAGGATAAACTTATAGACCAATGGAACAGATATAAACCCTTATATTTATGGTCAATTTATTTTCAAAAAGGTTCCAAAGCAATTAAATGGTGATAGTCTTTTCAACAAATGGTGCTGAGCCAATTACGTATCCACATACAAAAAGATTCATTTAGACGCTTACCTCACACAATGCACAAAAAATGAACCCACAGTAGATCACAGACTTAAATATAAGAGGCAAAACTTTAAAACTTTTAAAAGAAAACATAGGATAGATATAATCTTCATGACCTTGAGTTAGGTTAGGCAAAGAGTTCTTAGACACAACACCAAAAAGCACAATCCATAAAAGAAAAAAAAAAAGATAAATTAGGTTTATTAAAATTCAAAACCTTTGCCCTTCAAAATATACCATTAGGAAAATAAAAAGACAAGCCACAGACTGGGAGAAAATATTTGCAAATCGTATATCTGATAAGGGTCTAGTATCGGAACTGACTCGACAACAACTAACAGCAACAACAATCCAAAATATATACAGAACTCTTACAACTCAGCAACACGATAAAGAAACAAATAACCCAATTTTTAAAATGCGCGAAGGATCTGAATAGACATTTCTTCAAAGAAGAGATATAAATGGCCAATAAACACATGAAAAGATGCTCAGCATCATCGATCATTAGAGAAATGCGAGTCAAAATCACAATGAAATACCACATCACAACCACGGGGATGGCTGTAATTTTAAAAAAGTAAAAGGGAAAATAACAAGTATTG